GTTTTATTAAATATTTTATAAATTAAAAGTTGTTCAATTATGTACATTTTATAACCTATGCAGTCTATCAATGATTCATCAAGCAATTTTTTAATTCTATTATTATTTGTTAAGCGCACAGTTAGTTGAAATTCTATTTTATTTTTATGCAATTAATTTTTAAAATTGTTTTCAAAGATATTTAAAATTTTATTTACTACATTATTTAAGCTATTTGATGATGCTTTAAGCCCACTTCATTTTTAATTGAATTATAATTTTTATTAAGAAGATACAACTGCTTTTTATAATTTAAGTTTTTATCGACAAATAATTCAAATTGACATTAGTTACAATTCAATTTTTTCATACATTTATAGCCCAAATATGTAACAGAACAGTCTTCTAAAGTAACATCATTATTACTAGGTATCAGTATTATTTGATTTCTCGTCAGATGAAAAAAAAAAACAGAGAGATAAATTAGAATAACATTTTGTGTCTGAATTCTGAATCAGATGATAATGGCGAACTGTTAAAATTTATTTTATTTAGTGGTCTTATTGGGTCAATTATAACTGAATTATCATCTACTTTGGTTACCTCATAATTTGACCATTTTGTAGTACATTTAGAAAAAAATACAATTACTTCTTATGGAAGTTCTGATTGTTCTAGCTGTTAGGTTAGTTATATAACCATCATTTTGTCGAAAAATACTAAAAAGATTTTCTAAAATATCCTGATTTAAACAATTAGTCATTAAAAATACAATACCGTTAGATTTTTCTGCTTCGAAAAATTACAATACACCATTAATGGTCTGTGTAAATCCATTAAAACAGGGAGGTTGTGATAATTTCCCTTTTTTTAATTTTTGTAAATTTGTGAAGTATTGTGAAGCTTCAAATAAAATTTTTTTACCGTACCGAAATCAGTTAATGCACAGAGATATGGATTATGACTCTATAAGGATTTGCTATTAAGACAATCAAATAAATGATTAATAAACTCWATAAAATCTGCARTATTTGATGAAGTGTTACTTTGAAGTTGTCCTGTTTGTATACAAGTTCGGATTGCTGAGGCCATGGAATTGCTTGATAATTCTACTGCTAATTTAACACGCATTTTTTGAAAAGAATTAGGGTAGACATRCGCATCTGTTATTTTGATGAGAGACTTACTTTTATGATTTTGTTTGTCCAACTCATATGTTTTTTTTTTATCATCAAATGAGATTATTTTATTATCTTTTATATAACAGGCATTAATTAAATTATTTATTATACTTTTAAGTAAATGTGGAACATMAAACAAACAAAAGATTTTATTGTTGTTGATAAAAAAAAAAAAAATGGATTTTCTTCTGAAACATTTAATGAATTTAAAGTGCTTTGATTATTTGTGCATTGATTGCAAACTATAATTTTGGGACACAATTTAACCTCATATAACTTTTGTAAATCAACTATTAAAATTTTTAAAAACGTTGTGTAAACTCCAGAATGAACAAGAAAATATGCAATTGGAAATTTCCATGGAGTACAATTTTTTTTATTCCTTAAACCAAGTATTTTATTTCAAATCCAGTTTAGCAATCTTTGTCTATCTTCACTCAGAATTGTTTTTCATCAAATTATATTATAGGCTTATAGTTAATTTCTAAATTTAACATATTCAATATATACTTAATAATAAAACACAACTATTATTTTATTCATAAATTATATTAATAATTTAATTAAGTATATTATTTATGTTAATGCATTTTTATTCATTTTAAAATTTAAACATAAAATAATTTCTTTTCTTTCATAAAGTATTAAAATACAATAAAAACAAAAACTACAATATGGTCAAAGATTTGCTTTAGTGTTAAAATTTGGTAAATCTAGTGTAATATGTAATAATGTAATTTTTAAAGAAATATTCCCGTCCAAAGCAGATTTTACTGAATCATAACATTGCAAAAAAAATTGATTTTTCGTTATGAAATAAAATATTGCTTTCTGATCGCGTACAACATGATATAAAAATTAACAATATTGTGATGATAGCGATATCGCAATGTTCAGAAAATATAGGTTTATGTTGATCCAAGATAAAATAATTTATAGGCTTATAGCTTTTTCTGTCACTGCCACAAAACCAGTCAAGGAATATGTTATTTGCCGTCAGTAGTAATAATTTAATATTAATTCATACAACGCTACCTATCGGCAGCTATAATAAATAAAATTGTAGTCGCCGAAAATCCCTATATCTGTCTATCTGTCTACTCTATAATCAATGGTTCTACATTTATAAGACGGAGACAACACATACGGGTATCAAAGTATCACGTCCTCTTAAGTCTAATCAAATACATTTTGTAAAGTTATAAGTAGGTAACGCGGATGATTTGCTTATTTAAGAACTTGATTTTAAATTCTAATTACATACCAAATTAATAATACGAKGCATATCCAGAAAGTAASAGTACCTACTCAATTTTTGTATTTAAAAATAAAAAATAGGACATTGTAGGTATACATATTAATTATTTTTCCACATAGTCACCTTCCCGTTCTATGCATTTTGTAAGCCGTGGCCCAAGCTTCCTCATAGAACTCTTCCATCTCCTTCGTCCACTTCAAGACCTCTTGTTTCACCCCCTCATCGGTTTGAAATTTTTTTCCACCCATGTAAGTCTTCAGGAAGATACACACTCCATTCGTTAACATCTCCCTTCATTTGTTTTGAATTGCTCTCTTTAATTTTTGTAGGATCAAACAAGTATCGTGCTGGATTAATTGTCTCCGTCTGAGCCAAAAAATCAATCAAATTATCCTTTTTCGGTCCCAAAACACGGATGCCTTGATTTTTTTGTCCGAAATTGAAATTTTGAACTTTTTGGCAGAAGGGGAACCAGTGTGCCACCACTGTGATGACTATATTTTTGTCTCAGGGATGTAATAAGCCACCCATGTTTCATGACCAGTCACAATGGAACTCAGAAAATCCTCACCATCCAATTTAAATCGCTCAAAGAACTCGCGTGCGCTAGCGACCCGATTCAATTTGTACTGCTCTGTCAGTTGTTTTGGGACCCATCATTAACACAATTTTCGATATTCCAGAGTTTCTGTAATTGTTTCATGTAACAGAGATCTGGAACTTTGTGGAAACATTGCAGACATTTCGTCCACTGTCGATCGGCGGTCTTCACGAACAGTTTCGTTGATTTTTTGCACCAACTCATTTATCACAATTGATCAGCACTTCTTTGCTCGTCATGAATATTCGTTCTTCTTTTTTAAATTCACGAAACCACATGAATACGTTCGTTCGGTTCATAGCACCTTCGCCATACACAGTTTTGATCCGTGAAAAACTTCAGTTGAAATTTGTCCTTCCGCGAGAGGAGCCTTATGACAGCGCACGTTTCGCACTTGGCGGGATTTCTTATCGAAATTTTTCACAAAAACGAACATTACGAGCCAAGTTTTAGTACTGACGTTGATCGGTAGTGCTTTGAGTTGAGACCTCCCCCCCACTACCACTTAGTGTTGCCAACTTTTAGAAAAAAAATTCTCACAGTAYGACAGCCCAACWGTACTCTTACTTTCTGGATATGCCTCGTACATAAATGAAGTAAATTTTAAAATTATAATTATCTGGTTTCTGGTTAAATATTTTTTTAAACWTAATTTTAATTTGATTTAAAAAATTTGACTAMMTTGCTGAAATTGAAAAATTGTCTTCAATAAAATGTAGTAAATAAATTTATTTTCGGAATACAATTTGAACTTAATATATTTATATGATTATAGTTCTTCTAGGACCTAGAACCATTAAACATGAAAATATATAATATTATGTTATTATATGTTTTCATGTTTAATGTATTGAGTACTTATTTCTAAATACATTTATTCATCTACCACTATACTCTGTCCCACGAGAGAATAGTCACTTTTCGTGCATCTCAAATGATTCAATTCGCACGTTGAGAACCACTTGATCACTCTAACAATGGTAAATGCGAAGCACTGATGAGAATCGGTCGGCAGACTGATATTCTCTCATAAGACAAAATATAAATGTGACCATAGGAGCAAATCGCAGGGTGGCTAAAAGAGCTTCCCCCCTAATTTATAAGAATTATTAATAACTCAATGTATGCATTTTCAAGGCTTAAGACGACGCTACAYCCGCATATGTTGTCTCCATCTTACAAGTGCGTAACATACCAAATTTTATGTTCAGCAGATCACGTTTAGCTCCGTTAGTTTAAAATTTAGAGTAAATTAACCTCTTACAAAAATTAAAGGTAACATCATTATCGAGGGCATGACGTAGGCTTTTTATTATATTTTAATTTTAAAGTGAGTTATGAGTATTTTAAGATATACAAACAATTTACAATTTTAAAATAAACATCTCACTTTAAAATTAAAATATAATAAAAAGCCTACGTCATGCCCTCGATAATAATGTTACCTTTAATTTTTGTAAGAGGTCAATTTACTCTAAATTTTAAACTAACGGAGCTAAACGTGATCYGYTGAGCATAAAATTTGTTATGTTACGCACTTCTAAGACGGAGACAACGTATGCGGGTGTAGCGTCCTCTTAAGCTCTTCCACTAAATTGAACCAATTTGCTTCTGTTAATGGGACCCTGACTAAAACAGTTTATAAAAGTTTTATGCGCTAAGGTTTTACAAATAAAAAGTTCAAATATAATTTAAGATTCGTTAAGATAATTTATTAATTACCACGTAATTGCGTAACATTTAATAGTTTTACTGTAAAAAGTTAATTTAATTTTCATATTTTGTATTTGTTTTTTCAACTCTAGTAATAATTGTTTATGTAAAGTCCCATTAAAATCCGTTTTTGTAATAATAACATAATATGAATCACGAATTTTAAAATTATAAAAATTATATTTGATGAATACAAGTTTCTCTATTAGGTACTCAGTTACAGTTATTTGACAAATAGTGCAATTAAATTTTAACGTTAAATTATTACCAAATGCGCTTATCATTCCAAACATAATGCAAAACATGCCTCCTACAATAGGTTCGGGAATAATTATAAAAACTGCTCCAAATTTATTGACAACGCCTTGAATTAACATCAATGCACTAGCGTACTGGATTACACGCCTACTGCCAATCTGAATAAATAAACATAGATTTAAAAAAATTAATAAAGTTTTCGTAAATATTATCTAAAACATTTGATATTTTATAAGAGATAAAATAAATTATGATAGTTGCCAAAGTCGTTTTTTAACATCATTCATTAATAATAGCAAAATAATAAAAATTACAACAATATTTGGTCGATAAGAATATTTAAGAAGGCGCTATACATGTATTGTACTCACCTAATTATAGATGCTATTAATATAATATAATAATGTCCTTACTATTAAAATTGATTATATTAATAGGCCAAAAATTAACTTCTTCTAAATGCATTCTTTTCTCGCTTCCACTATTTTTTAACATTTCTCCGGAAATTCCATCCTCTCCAGGGAATTTATTTATTCTTCAATTGTTTTAACTGACTAACACCTCTTTAGTCAGTACAGGGCACATTGTTCATGTTTTAAATTAAAACTTTGTACATCATCAAATGAAAAGGGTTCACTGGTTCTGAACAATTTAATAAATCACTAAAGCATTCAACCTATTTTTTTGTTACTTCTCATCTCATGAGATTTATGTATCATCTTTCTTCCTCAAGAATTTTTCTTTATGCTTGTGATTTTTTCTTAAAATATTTATCTTCTTGTACAAGTTACGAGTTTTTTGACCTGCGTAATCTTGATTCGCTTCTCTTATTAAATTTTGTAAGTGTTTTCTTTTTGCACACCTAAGTTTATTACTTGCTTCCCTTTGTCTAATCTTGTATTGTGTCATTCACGTTTTCAACATCACTTAACCAAATATTGAACCATAGTTTCTTTGTTTGACGTCTTCTACTTATTAAACTCTTCGTAGTGTCCATACATTCCAAGTACCAAAATGTAAAGCTGAGTTCCAATTTTCTAGTTTTGAGTCCAATAATCTACAATCCCTAGGCATAATATTTGTTTCCTGATCATGGTTATTTTTACAAGGCCAAAATTCATTCTAATATTAAAATATACTAAACTTTTCGGTAAATATTATTTTTCTAACGTACATTTATAGCTGTAATGCGTTTGTAAGATGGGGATAAAACCAAAATTAAAGTTTTCACATTCTCCTTGTATAATATATAATATATATATATTACCTTTGTGACACCAATCGCGCCTACGTTTTCCCCAAAAGTATTGGTTCCATTTCCACTTCCCATGAGTCCAGCGAATACTGTACCTAGTCCCTCGAATCCAATTCCTCTGTTAATAGCATGCACTGGTGGTGGCGGAGCTCCTGATATTCATACACATAAATCAATTTATTTAATGTCTAGACAGTAAAGTATGTAGCAATATTAATAAACTAGTTAAAACCTTTTTGAAATTGAGGGGACATTTTTTGACCAACACTGAAAATAATTTGTTAAACCAATTCATAGTAATAAAAATGATTGACCGTAACTATACTGACAACGTTTTAGCATAGTTGTATTATCCTGTCGTCTCTCAAGTAAGTAGATGTTATTTGAGCTTATTAATTTATTATCAACATATTTTTTAAGTATCTATGMGTTTTTTATATCATAATTGAAGGTTCTGAGTAAAATTGTTTAAAGTTAAAAATTATGTACTTATTATCAAATTTGAATAGGAAAATATACGTAAATAATTATGCTCGATTGAAAAATTGTTTTCGTTATATTTATTTTAAAACGAGTTCTATACTTATAATACATTTTACTATTAATTGTCTAAGGACATTTAACTCATTTTAAAATTAAAATATGAAAAATCAAGCATTATTTATATTCTGATAAAGATATAATAAAAGTAAACTTCAATCCGTACGTAGAATTTGCTATGTTATGTATGTTTTAAATAATCAGATAATGATAATATTTACTAGTGCRACGTCCTCTTAAAGCCTAATGATTGTGACTAATTATAAATAACCATCACGATTTAAGATACCACATCTTAAATCGTGGTAATCATATAAGCTCATAAATTCATTGAGCTGATAATACAATTTAGTCAGAAATTATTTATATTAAGTATTGTTACGTACCTATAAAATATGTACGAGATATCACGCAATTGTGATATAAAATAAGTATTAACTATGACTAAAACGAATAAGTGATTAATATAAAAAGCATGTGGAAGTCAACAATAGGGACGTGGTGAATAAGATATAAAATTGATTAAATTATAAAAGTGTTTTCACACGTCTCTTCTTAGAAATGACTGTAGACCCATGTCACCACCAATGCAACCACCACTCTTAAAAGGACCAAATCATATATAAGAGAGGTGAGGACAAGAGCTCGTCAGACGATTTTACGAGACGGTTCTTAAATGTGAGCTAAACAGTTAGGGCTATAGAAGACATTTGGAGGTAGGTTGTATTACCACTCAGTCTTAGCAATATACACCCTAGAGTCAGGTCGAACACCGCTGACTTTACTATTTAACTATAATTGTATTTTTGTATTAAGTGAAATAAACAACATTATTACTAAATACATAAAGTGTTCATTTCTACGTTGTGATATGAATCGACGTCAGTTGGGACGCAACAGTATAATATAAGTATAATTTATTTATAATTGTCTCCAATTTTATAAAATTATAAAATAATATCTCCATTGGTCGCTAACCCAACTATTATCATTGGCAAGATCTCAAAGGTTTCTTGTACAATTCTTATGCGGTCAACACACTAATTTCTACCTGTTCCATGCAATATTACTTTACGTTTTTTCATATATCGTCATAGAATAACAGTATAATATTATCAGGAAGTAGGAGATACCTGTATATTCTTTTATATGGATACATACCACACATTTTGGCTGTTGTCGGATAGTAGCTAATGGACTCAACGGTACATGCCAGTACACCAGCCAACATGCCTACGACGCCGGCTACGCTAACAGTTGGCCAACCCCATTGGCCTTTGAATTTCAACATAAATACATAAATGTCAACGCGTGATAAATAATAATCAATAAAAATAAGCATTGTGTCGATATAATTGTATAATTGTGTTATAATTACCGGGGTATGGCACTCTAAACCACGATGAATCACCTATAATCCTTATTTTTACATCGGTTCTGGCCGGATGACCGACTGGAAAGTAATCGTACATGGTRAGTAGCGCGCACAGAATCCACATAATCGTTATAGTTAGTAATACCTAGAATGATAACATAAAATATACCTAATCATCTACGTATTAACAATTATTACCTATTGTTTTCTACAATTATTACAAATTTTGCGTTTTCAATTTTTGTACTTAGGACATAAATTTGTTGCACGGATCGTATCAGGTACAAAACGTACAGATATATTTTTTGTGCTTTCAATTATAAATTCATCATTTGTTTTTTGTTTTGTAATAATTATTTTGATAATTCAATAAACCGATATATTTACGATATTTTATAATTCCAAATAATTATTTGTAATTATTTGATTAGTATAAAACTTCAATTCGAAAAGGTATTATATGTAAGCAATACATGCAATTAATCTGTGTTAGGTGAATATCAATCATTATTTATTAATAAAACTCTGAATTTCAACAGCAATACAAATATCCTGATTCGAATCGAAAATGGGATGCAATTCACCTAAATGCCATTATAGAAGAATTTACCTGGAGTTTATTTGAAAAAAAATATAGTAAAATTATAAAACTAAATTTACTCAATGCTAATAGAATTTGTTCAAACAATTATTTTGGTTAATAAATATCCTTAGCAATAATGAAAAAAAATATAAGGTTAATAAAAATTGAATTCATTTTTTATGAAATTATATAAATTATTATATTCTTAGAAATAACTAACCACGTTGTTTAAAATTAAATGTAAAAATGATCACGGGTTAAGGTAATTACAAATGGTGAATCAAAAGTGAATTAAAATCAGTTTTCAGAAGTCTCATCAGATCATCAAGTCAATGGGTAGGATTGCAAAAAGAAAAAAAGTAGGTACATACAAATAAGCATAAATTGTTTACCATTCAAGCGAATGTCAAGGTAGTAACTTGTATGTGCTTTGTGCGTTTTGTGAGTGTGGAAGCTCTCCACTATTTTACCCTATTATGAATGATTATCTTACACACACAATTACAAGACCCGCATGCAAGAAATTTGAAATTGCCTGTTTTGAAATTCTAAAAAACTACCAATTTTCAGTTTCTTAAGTACCACTATCAGGTTTATTTCAAACGAAAAATTGGTAAGTAATTAAGTATTATCTAAACCACACTAGTTTGTTAGTTAGTTTGTTTGTCTATTGCTTGTCWTTTTAAAATAATCAAAGTTTTACATTGTGATAAAAATAAATAGAAACGATATAATAATATAGCCAGTTGTTAACATAATTGAGATTTATTTCTGCCAACAATCTAAGATAGTTTAAAATATTGTCATTAAATTTGATTATAAAACATTAACATTTTAGGCCAGTGGTTACCTATACTCCAGCCACCGAGAAAGCGCTACTCTTTGGCGCATCCAAATGACCAAGTTCTGAGGTTTCGTACTAATTTTTCTGCCACTATACTACCTATTCGGTATGAAAAATACCCCCTTGCAACGCGGCCGGACGGTGGCCAGTAAAACGTGAAGTTTGGTGGTAGGAATGCACGAGAATGGACGAGATTTGGGCGCAGCCCAGTAGCGGTTTCTCAGTGGCCAAAGTATACTGGCTACTATCTATGGTCAGTCGGAGGCGACCAAATGTTTTTTTTTTTTTTCTA